CACACAGGATTACTTGATCAGCTGTGGATCATCAGAGCCAACAGTCCTGCTCAGAACGATGGTCAGGACTTCACGTTGGGTTTAAAGGACTACTTTAGATCTTTTGAAGTTTGGTTCTGTGGAAAGGTTACGCACATTTAACATCTTACCTGCTGTAGATGACTCGCTGAACCAATTATGAGGACTCCCCTGATATAATTCAAGCATCTAGTGTCTGTTGAATTTTAATGGCAACGATCATTAGATGAACATCTGCAAACGACAACTTTTCAAGTCAGCCCAATTCAAGATGGCAGCCACCGCCAACAGACCTTAGAAGACATAAAAGTGGCTTTACTCAATTACTTTTTTCAGATAGGTGCTGAAGTTTGGTTTGCCAGTAGCTGAGAGTCGTGTCAAACATTCTCCAAGTGCTACTTTCTGTTGGAATCAACACTGTCTGTCTGTTAGCAAAATATCTCCTGAACAACTGAACAGATTTTAATGAAATTTCCAGAAAGTAAAAGTGGACCTACACTACATGATTAACTTTTGTCATTAGTCCGGTTCAAGATGGTCACAGCTGATAAACAGCCAAGGGGTGGCCAATGGTGGCCCTGGCCCCAATAGATTAATCTTTGGCCACCCCAATCATTTAAGGAACTATACTTTTAGCCAATATAAAACTAGAAATCATAGTTTCCCTAAATGAAGGGGTGGTCATTTTACAAATATTTATGGTGGCAGTCATCTTGGATTTTGATTTGGTAACCCAATTTTTGATGGTGACCTTATTTTATGTCCAGATACAGCCACACACCAAAATGGAAGTTGGCCCCTCACTTATTTTTCAAGTTATCAGACTCACAAGACCGAAGCACAAATGAGCGGACGACAGGATGATGTATGATATTTCTAAATTCCCTCATCCAACACAAAAATGACAAAAATAAAATAAATAAACCAGTCCATTTTACAGATTTTAATTTTTTGAATCTTTTGGCTGCTCCCTTCTTCAGGGGTCGTCACAGCGGAGTGTGGTGCATAAAGACGGCAATTGTTTTTAGCCGCCCTTCCTGACTCAACCACAGACCACCGAGCTACCACAGCCCTGTGTGGAGCAGAGAGCTGCTGCCTGGGGTGCCTGGAGGAGCAGATGGTGGAGGTTAAGGGCCTTGCTCATGGGCCGAGGGTGGAGGCAGGTGAGTGTTTCACCTTTCCCACCCACATTTTTTTTATGTTGTCGGTTCAGGGAATTGAACCAGTGACCTGCCAACCACAGTCCCACCTTCTTTAGCCTCTGCGCCACCACTCACGCATATTTCTCCCCCATTTTGCAGAGATAGATCTCAGTTTTGATGGGGTAGTAGCTGGGAGTTATTCACAACAAACTCTGAGAGTGCAACCGTACAAGATTATCTGAGATTGTACATTTGGATTTTGAAATGGTCCAAATGTCTGTAACACCATCATTTAGCAACACAACACAATATTAGTCTAAAGTTCCTGGAGAAACTCTGATGGGGACTGCCATGTGGTGGCCATTTTAAAATTTTTATTTGACAATACTGTATTTGAGTACACACTCAGCTACCACTATACAGTAGTCCCTTGCTACTTCGCGGTTCGTTTTTTTGTGGACTCGCTCTATCACGGTTTTTCAAAATAAGATTGGACATGACACAATGGCTGGCTGACAGATGAGCCAGACGATCGGCATGGAATTTTATTTAAAATAAATTATTTTAAATGATTTAGCACATGTGTGCAGCCCACAGCTGTGGAAGAATCTCCATCCTGCAGCTGATCAGCTGATCTCTACTCCGCACGGAAGTCGGCTGATCTCGATGCAGAGCAGAGAAGTGGGCGTGGCTGAGAGTGCAGCTGGAGGCAGAGAGCTGAAATCATGACATTCTGTGCTCTTTTAGAGCTTTTAGAGTTTAGAAACATTGTTTAGAATATTGCAAGAGTGTGGGCACACACACACACACACACACACACACATATATATATATATGGGTTTTGTTTACGAGTGAGGGAAGAACGGAGCATGAGATTGACGGATGGATTGGTGCAGCATCTGCAGTATTGCGGACTTTGTACCGGTCCGTTGTGGTGAAGAGGGAGCTGAGCTGTAAGGCAAAGCTCTCGGTTTACCGGTCGGTCTACGTTCCTACCCTCACCTATCCAACTTTGGGGGCAGCAGCTTGAGCAGGGAGGTCCAGCCATCTCTTTCCACAGCCACCTCTTCCAGCTCTTCTGGGAAGATTCCAAGGTGTTCCACGGCCAACTGAGAGACATAAAATAGTCTCTCCAGTGTGTCCTGGGTCTTCCCGGGGGTCTCTTCCCAGTCGGACATGCCTGAAGCACCTCCCTAGGGAGGCGCCCAGGGGGCATCCTTACCAAATGCCTGAACCACCTCAACTGACTCCTCTCAATGTGGAGGAGCAGTGGTTCTACTCCAAGTCTCTCCCAGATAACTGAACTTCTCAGAGTCAGAGTCAGAGTTTCTTTATTGTCATTCGCACCTCATGTGGTACATGTGGTGGAGCGAAATTATGTACACAGGGTCCCAGTTACATCCAACAATAAAATGTATAAGAAAAACAGTAATAACATCTAAGATATGAACTAAGAAAAACATCAACTAAATATACACTAAGCACTCATAACATAAAACATTGAACATCAGCACAAACATGAACATGAGTCTGTGAGCAGATGTGCACGCATGAACACATCAACATTGAAACAGATCAGCAGCAACATGAAACAGATCAGCAGCAACATGATATGGTTCTATGTCGTATAAGCTTCGCCCTTTAAGGCCTTCGCTTTAGTGGGTTTATCCCGTTATGCAGAGCATAAGCACTGAAAAAATTAGTCCACGCCCACCTGCTGTGTGGGCCCCACCCGGTCCGTATAAATTACGTTAAGAGCGGGAAATCGGCTCCCATTTTTTCTTCAGCGAGCTAATATAGCACTGTCAGAAGAACAAAGAAGATAAATTGTGTAAATGACCAACCTT